AAAGTGTCTCAAATTACACTAGTAGATCTGTTATCTAATCATAAAAATCATCATTAGAGGAACAATCATTAACACTGAAAATGGCCTAATGGCTTAGCACTTGACTGATAATTTATAAAATGATAAGAAAATCGACTGTCAGGTTATCGACCTTTTCAAAATAAATTGTCACTGTGTTCAAATTAAGAGAATCGTTTCAACTGTTAGACTTTGTATAATTAGTTTTTCCCAGATATTTCTCAAATTGGTAATTAAAAAAAAAAATTATTCAAATTTTCGTGAAACGTATGTTACACATTGCCTAAAGCAATTATTGAGTTTCTTTCTTCTTCGTGTTAATTAATTTTACCGTGAACATCTATACATACATAACTTTTTTTTTTTTTTTTTACTATTTCTCATCAAAACCAAACGAAGTATTCGTTTGAAAAAATGTTTCTCTCCACCTCCAATTGCACCAATCAAAAATGAAATTCGATAAAATACCAATTAGTTTCAAACGGCGTGTTTTTTTTTCAGACCAACTGAATCCTACAATTATATATTTTTGCGTTGCACGTTCGTTTAACGAAAGCGTATAAATGTACTGATCGAATCGGGCGTGTAAATATATGAAATATAATTTTCCTTCGGTATACAGGCATTGTATATACAGTTCAACGCCTTTCACGTAACAAAAGATCTCATTTTTCTTATTCTTCTTTACAACAATTATTCCAAGTCCCCTTCATTTATCGCGAATTACCTCGTTAAATGCTCAATTTTGTTCCATCGGCCCGCACCGGTAAATTTTTACCAGCAGCGATTTCACCGAACTAGTACCAGGCGCGCGTGTATAGGCTTTGATCCCTTTGACGATAAAACGAGAGAAGAGGGTCGAGCATCGCGTGTATAGTATCCTCTCACACACAGCTCGGTATCGGTAGAGCGCGGGTGGGCCCGGGATTCGCAACCACTCGAAACGATCCTCCTCTCCTCTTACTCCTCGAAAGTAAATCGGTACACGCGTATAAAAGGGGTATTAATTGAGCGGGACGTAATATCGATGCCACTCCTCGGAAAAAACGACTCCCCCCCCCCCGGTTTCCTTCACATCGTTCGCACGCGAGGTTTTTTTTCCCTCCATCCCATCCGATTGAGCCTCGAACTGATTATCGCTGCTTTTGACGAACCGATTTTTCCTCCTCCACACAGTGGCCTGCACCATTAAAGAGCAAAAACTCAGTATTTACAGCGTGCACACGTGTGGGGGTATAATTATTATTCCGTGCAACTAACGAGGCTTGAGCTTGCAGCCGTGTACCTACTACACACTCATACAAAGCGTATGGTACAAAAGACGGGGGATGTTGCTCGAGTGAGTTTTGCACGAGAAAATTCGAAAAAGTCGAGTGCCTCGAGATAAAAAGGGAGTATACCCAGCCATGGAAACGTGTACCGCTGTTTAAAAAAATTGTACGAAAAAAAGAAACCCAACGGGTTTATAAGTATAGAAGGGGAAGGGGGGGGCAATTATTCCTCGCATCACGGGGGATGTATTCATCCCGGAGGAATTTCCAGCCTCACGATGGAGGTCATTATCTCTCGAGCGAGCCGGCGACTGACTGTGCCCGTATCGATTCCCCCCCCCCCCCGACCCTCTTTCTTCCGTTCGTCCCGTATACGCAGGAAGGGCCCTTTATCTCGCGGACTTCCCCCTCCCCCCCCGGAGAGATTTTTCAATGGAATCGCGCTAACCGTTACTATGTGCCCATTATAACGTCTTGGCTCCCTCTCGGTGTACGGGTAGTTGTAGAGCTTCGTCGGGGCAGATATTACGGCGCACTCGCTGGTTATACAGTCCCGTTCGGGATGAAGGAGCTCCGACGCGACAGATTTCATTTTCTAGATAAAGCCACGGGGGTATCGATCGGCCCTGCGAGCTCGGCTCCCTCTGAGATGCTTCGCTGTAAATTTCGAGATCGGGCTTGTATTTACACATCAAGTGTGGGTGTTTTTGCAACGAGGGGACCGACATTTCGATAAAAACTGGGTATTTGACGAACAGAAAAAAAAAAATATATATA